CTGGCATTACATGCCGTGCCTTGCTGTAATAGTGTTGATTCAGCACAGTGGGAGCTTTCAGTTTGCTTTGAAAACTTATGAGGTTTATGTATGTAGGGCAGGGGGGCCTTGAGAGTGATTTCAGAAACACCACAGGCTTGTGTTTTGTTTGTTTATTTTTTTTCCTTATCCTTAGTATTTCTTATCTTAATTCCTTACACAGGTGAAAGATATGATCCTGAGCCCAAGTCAAAATGGGATGAAGAATGGGATAAAAAGCCAGCTTTTCCCTTCAGCGATAAGTTAGGTGAACTAAGCGACAAAATTGGCAGTACAATTGATGATACCATCAGCAAGTTCCGAAGGAAAGATAGAGAAGACTCTCCAGAGAGGTGCAGGTACCAGAGTTATTTTAACATGAATTTATTCTGTGAAATTGCTATTACAAAGCTCTTTGACATTAGCTGATTATTAGTCACAATACTCTGTCATTCTTTTTGTCTGTACAGAAGCATGTTTGGTTTCAATACCTGCTTCCTGGGCTCCTTAATGCAGCTCTTACTGGCCTTGGGGAATAAAGGAGCTCTGTCAATAGTTAACTGCTCTTGACTATCTTCTATTACTGCCCCTAGTTTAGATAGCTGCTGGCAATGCAAGGAATTTGGCTGAAATTTCCTAAGCTTTGTCTTGTATCAACAATTGAGTGGTCTTCCTTGTGCCAGTATACTGCAAGCTGGCATTTAATGCTACAGTTACTCTGAATGTTGAAGTGCTAAAGAAGAGATGAAAAATTACTTAGACCTATCTTGACACAGTGCTTCTTCCCTGGGCTGATCTAAGGAAGAACAGACTGCAAGTGACTTTAAAAAAAGTTAAATGCAGATGAAGCATCTCAGGAAACTTTTATTTTATATCTGGCCATTAATTTTTTTCAGTAAGGAAGAAAACTTACCCTGCTTTGCCTGCAGAAAGAACTTTACATACATCACACTTCAACAGGTGCACTGAATTTTATTATCTGGAGATCAAGTTCATACTTAACAGAATCTGAAATTGCTGTAGAGAAAGTGCTCAAGTATATTGAAATAATTCCCTTTTGGGAAGCAACTTAAAATTCAAATTTGCACTGAGATTTGATTAGTTTTTTTTACAGGACTGTCTTCACATATAGACACTCTAATATATGTGTATAAAAATGCACATGCACATGTGTGTATGTTAAAAAAGTCAAGCAATTTTTTATGGAAACAATCATATGGGTAGCATTTCTGAGAAGAAAGCTGCATGGCCTGCTTCCTAGGGCATTAATAAATCATAACACTGATACTCTTTGCACACATCAGGGTTCCCTCTTAGAACTTGCTATCAATAGGCTCCAAAGAGAAGGGATCAGAAGAAAAGTAAACAATTTCAGATTTAACAATGGTATATCACTGTGTGCTCTTCTGTACTCACCTTTTGAAAGGCAACTTGTCACATGACATCTGTAAAGCTCACTACCCACATTTCATGTAGAGGATGTACAGTAAACATTTTTTAATCTTATTTCCTTTATTTCTGAATGGCTCCTGGTCTCTTACTTGTGCTGGAATGAAGTCTTGCACTTTCCAGTCTCAAAGACAATCCCTTCTACAGTCTAATATTTATAAAAGGAGGATTATTTAGAGGACTTCTCCACTATACATCTCTACTTCAAGTTACACTCATCTCTTTTTTTCTGACAAATACTACATTTTTCATTTTTGTTTTGCTCTTGTAACTCCTGTCCCCTCTATTTTTTTTTTCTTCCATTTTTTGGTAAATGTCAGTTCTGTTATTTGTCTCAAAATTTATGAAAGTAAAACTTGGGACTGGAAATAAAAAGAGGATTTTTTTTTTAGGACATAAGAGGAAAACCAGTTTGGTAGTTGCAGGCTATCCTCCCATAGGAAGGAATCCATGCAGCAATAGTGCTTTGCTAACATTCCTTCAGCTACCAGCCTGAAATTTCCTTTGCCTTCTATTGGCATGGTTATTGGACATCATGGAAGGTATTTTACCAGAGTGTTGAAATGAAGGTGTTTCTTTTTACAGAACAGAACAAAGAATCTAAAAAGATTGAACTCAAGGTTATAGAGTGTCTATTTAAACTTAAACGTGTTGTAAATGCAAACCTTATAATTGATGTTGTATTAACAGACTACTGTATTTTGTATGATGGTAAATATTGAAACTGAAATAAACATAAAATTTCAAATGTGGCTTAAGCTCAGCAACAACAGCGTAGCATTCTCTCCTAAATGCTTCAGGAAATCAATGCATTTGTTTTCATAATATGGCATTTAAAAAAAAAAACAAACCACAAAAGATACCTCAAAAAATGTACTATTTTATTTGAAGTCCACTGCTATATAACAGCATTGAATTAAGTTGCCATTTCCCTTGGAAAAGAGACTAAATGGTGATACTCAGCTGGCAAATCAGCTGTTGTATGTTCTATTGTTTCTATCCTAACAGCTTTATAAATCAGTATTACTTGAGTACTGTAGAGCCAATAAAGGTCTTGAAGCACAAAGAATAAATGTGACTTACACATCATCACAGTGATTAATGGAATTTGGATGACATAATCTTTACCTCCAGTATATACACCAGAAGAGCTTGACCAGACTTCTGGATTACTGACTCTACTTGCAAAGCCAATCATTTGCATGGAAGGAAAAAAAAAGCTTGAAGTAACTAAGAACTCAGCCTGTGATGTAGCTGGTTTGAGTTTAGGGGAGATTTCAGTGAAACTGCAGTTCACACACTAACTCTGGAGAAGCCTAGACTGAAGGTGGTTGTGTTTTTTCTTCAGAAGAAAAATGTTACTACTGCTGGGGAGGAACCTGATTACCCTCTCGGAAGTGGAGAAGCCTAGAAATAAATACCCCATGGGCTGGGGAAAAGCCTATTTTTTCTTTCATAGTGGTTTTTATTTCCTAAGTCTTAGGTGAATAAACCAATTGCAGCCCTGAGTCTAGCCTTGTATGTGAAAGTTCCGTTTCTAAATGACCTGCAGATATTCAGAGGTTCTTCTGAAACACTAAACCTTTTTCATAAGAATTCTTAAAACAGTGCCAATCATTGTTTCTCCAGTATTTGGAAAGGTTGATGCAGGTAACAACAGAAGGGTGAAACTTTTAGTACACCTATAAAAGGATGCAACAGCCATGTTTAAATGTAGTAGTATATAATTCAGATAGTCTTGAAGTATCAGTAAACTGTTTTTATTACCTTAAAGAAGGTTTGAGAACTCCCACACCACAAAAACCTTAAGCCAGTGGAAATGACCGTGTATCTATAACTTCATTTCTAGAAGTTGCAACCATGTACTTCCTTTGCAGAAGTTTGGGGGGTTTTTTTAATGATTTGGTACAATGCTAGCTATAATTTTAAGCTCATTGTACAATTCTCAGATGAAGCACTGTAATTTCACTGTTCTGAGCACAGTAAACACTTAAATGGAACATTAATCTGTAATTTGTGTGTGTTAATGTGACCATTAAAGAAAAATAGAAAACAGATCTCCTGAGACGGTTTGGAAGTAGTACAGGTTGTCAGAAAATATTTGTCCTCCTTTCTGGCATAGATGATTAATTTCTTTTCTTAAAAGCTTTTATACATTTATTTTACTGTGGGATCACCAAAGACTCCCTTTTTTTCATTCTTAAATTGGTGAGATTGATCTCTACCAGTTCTGTAGCAATAGCTCCATTGATCAGAATTTGATTGGTATCAGCCACTTCTTCCACCCACAGACTGTGTATACAGGCTAAGCAGACTCTGTAGGGATGGCAAGCAATACATTGCAGCAGGCTTTAGAGCATGAGCCTTAATTCTTATTGTCCTGATTTTTAGACCCTTTAACATGTATCTAAAAGGCAACATCATCCATACTCCTCCAAGGGTTTTAGGATGGATACACCATGTACAGCATGCTGGTGTGTGGATCAGCCTACTCTGGGGGCTTGTGTTAAAATCCCGATGTCACAAGTGAAGACATGGTCCCTGAAGTGTTTGTGCATGTTAGGTTTCTGTGGGTAGAGAACCAGACGGGGAACAGGAGGCCCGTTGCTGCAAGGCAGGGTTGAAGTGCCTTGGAAGGGTAAGTTTAGGTGGTGCCACCTGAGCTCACTTGTCTGTGTAAGGCTGGCTCAAGCAAGTGCCAATATCTGCTTAATGAGCCAGTAGATGTACTTTTCTTTTTACAAATAAACTTAAAAAGGAGATGAGGGTTTATGTTCACTGCTGTTAATGAATTGAACTATCCCTGGTGGTGAGCAGGTAATGCAGGTGGAGGAAATGACACGTGCAATGTATTCCGAAAAGCCCACTATTGTTAACAGAGAACAAAGGCTACCCTCCAGAGGATATTGCAGTTACTGTCACATTCTCACTGACAAAGGGACAGCCTTTCTTAAATTTTGCAGTTTTAGTATTCTAATGCATTATTAAAACATAAAACCCTTCCACATTCTTCAACTATGTTGCTAAGGGAATTACTATTTCAAAATACGCTTCAGTATATTTAAGCTTTCTCTAGAGCAATTTTCCCTGTTATGTACAAATCTTATCTTGATGGTAACAGGCAACATGACTGTCGGTGGGGGGCAATTGGTTTGTTTGTGAAAGACTTAAAATATAAAAGTAGAAAATGTAACACATTAAACAATGTTATGCAGTGACATCTAAAAGTTTTCTCCTGAAATGGTGACACTTTTGTTCTTCTGCGTTTTAAGAATAAGTGTGTGTTCGCTGATAGAAAATCAATAGGATCATTGCATTGCACAATTCTGTAAACACTTCTTCCACAAACATTTTAAAGAATATAAAAGCCTGTTTCTCTAGAAAGGGAAATGAGTTGAAATAGGAATGGAATATCTTGAAACCCAAAAGGTAGTACCTGTATTTGGTCCACTGCTTTCTGTCTCTTGGTGCGAGTGCTGAGCAGACCTGCCAACTTAACTTTTTGTTGCTGAGGTGTTACATAATGCGTGGGGGAGTTCCTGTCAGAAAGCAATTAAATGTACTGGATTCAAACACATTTCCTATTATCCTCTACTGTGGACTTACAGTTAATGCTTAACCAAATAACTTGGTTTTCTTCATCGCTTTTGTACAATAGGTGTAACGCTGTGTCACGTAGATGAATTATATAAAGGTAAAACATTTCCTTTCTTAAATGTAGCAAGAAGCAGCATTTTCATTATGAACCATGACTGCAAGCAACTGCAGTAACCAAAACTCTTGTGGCTTAAGCCAGATGTGCCCTTCAGTAACTGAGAAGTCTGTCACCAATGGTATTCTATCGCTTTTGGTTTTCTAGTGACAGTGATGAGGAAAAATCACGAAGAGGTAAATCTCCCAAAGCTGAATTTAAAGATGAAGAGGAGACTGTGACAACAAAACACATTCATATTACACAAGCTACAGAAACTAGGACCACCAGGCACAAACGCACAGCAAATCCTTCAAAAACCATTGACTTGGGAGCAGCAGCACATTATACAGGGGATAAAGCCAGTCCAGAACAGAATGTTGCTGCTCATACTGCACAGCCTACAGCAAAGGTGAGACAACAGGAGTGCACAATAATCCAGTGGTTTTGGAAACTATTTTCTGCTAACCTCTGAGACAAACTCTCCTTTAGGGTAGAATTTGTGTTATACAGCCTTCAAGGGAGCTATTTCATCAATAATGTTTAGTTGAGGTGTTTGAGGGATGTGAAACAGTTTCATTATAATTGTGTAATTGCTGTAAAATACATAATTTTAAAAAATATAGGCATTGCCATGTTTTACTCTCTTTAGGAGATAAAAGATAAAATCTTGGCCTAATTCTCTGAACCTGTGCACTTATTGAAAAGTTATCAAAGTCTTCACTTATCATAAATGAGCCACTTGCTTTTTCAGTACTTAATTTACAATTTAGCCACGTTCCAGTGAGTTTTGGCTTCAAAGATGAATCTGCCATCTCTCCAAAGCAAAAGAAAACCAAAAAGCCTTAAATGACTTTGAGAAGTTTTATAGTTGTTTGAAGATGAGCAATGACATCATGAGATGATATCTGTTGTGTAATTTCTTCTTCAGGCTTCTGTACCCTCTGGCAGCAAGCTGCCTAATGACCTGGTTGATCTGTTGTTTGATGGAGCTAGCCAGCCAGTCACAACAGGTAGGCACATCTTGATTTTATTTTCTTAATGCATATTTTGAACCAATTCTGAGAAGCTTGTTTGATGTTGCATAGGTAAAGAGTAGCAGATAAATTGAGAAATGGCAACTCTAAATTTTTTGAGTATTCTAGACGTTTGTGGAGCAAGGTACTGATTGTACTGCTGCATGGGACTAATAAATGGTAGCAGCACAAAGATTAACTGCCAGATCAGTCTGTCAGAAACTGTGTTTGTAATGCAGTTATTTATAATTAACAGTAAAAGCAAGCGTGATTCACACTGAGACATTTCTCAGTGCAATTCAAAGGCTAGGCAGCTAGCTGATCTTTATGTTTTAGATGAAAGCTTATACATGGCCAACTTGTTTCTTTATCTCATTTTATGTTGGCACTTGATCTCCACTCTATCACCAAAAATAAAGTGCTCCCTAAAAGTAAAATTATTAACTGTGAAACAAATCCCTTCACTCTCTAAATGTGCAGTTTAATTTACATCCATTAACCTTCATATGGACTTACCCTCACACTCAAACTGCAGTTTCTTTTTAGGAGTGTGTTAAATGTGAGTGCATTGCATACAAGATTGATAGAGGAGTTCAGGGGCTTAGTGGTTTGCTTTTTAAAACCTAAGGCTTTAAATACTTGTTACGGTGCTTACAGGTTCTTAATATCGACGGGTTTGATTGTGGCTGGCATGGAACAGCAGAAGGGCTGCCCTGCACTTCTGGTCTAATGGCACAGTTGGGAGAGTTTACTGTGGGTAGAATTTTTGTTTGAATATCACTTTGAATAGCAAGTAAAATACAAGCCTGTGCATTTTTGTAGATAGAAATCTTCCACGTAACTTCTCCATATTATAATAAGCAACTTCTCTTATATATGGGATAGCATCCATATTATCTGTAGAAGCACACGTGTGTGTCTTGGGGACAACAGATACTCCAGTCACCATGTAAAGTCACACTGCCAGTCACGGCAATCCAGTGGTTGAAGGCCCACACGAGTGGCAAGGTGGCTGCATTCATGCACTCGTGAAGACTGCTCTTACTTCTGTCTGACGTTATGCCACTTCTGGGTGTGCTGGAGTGGGAACTCCTGTAATATGTAACACCAGGTATTTTTATTATAGTGTATGAGCAAAGCTAGTATCACGAGCACTCTGTGACAACGTTCCTTTCATCACTAGGCTTCCAAAATGATACCTCTGTAGGTATTTAATAGAATATTTTATCAAAATTATTATCAAAACTCTGTTGGAGGGGAAGGAAATTATCATGGTAATTTAGTATGAGAGATCTGTCTCAATCTTTCTTATTTCTGATATATCTTTAAAACATTGTGCATTTTCATTTTGGGAAAGTAGATAAAGTTTATATATCTGTTCTGAAATACGTATTAATTCCTAATGGTTGAGAAACTATTTCATGCACCTATTCTTTTATGCACAAATGCCCCCAAATTTAAGGAATAACTGATATTGCAATATTTTCAATTTTATTTAACTTCATAGACAAAGATGTTCATTGGAGTTACCACAGTTCTGTGGAATTTTAAGACCCTGGATCAGAACCACTACTGCAAATCAATACTAAAACTTCTCCTATCCAATACTTATGGGAAAAGAGATTAGGTTTTTTGGGTTTATTTATATACATGTGTATGTTTTTATTTTTATATGTAAAAATTAAATCACATAGAGAGTAGATGTTTCTACTTAAAATTGAGCCTTCCCATATTACAAAGAGAACTATGGCAGCTTCCATGTGACAGTGTATTTCAGTGTTTGATCAATTTGGTTCTTTGCTGTAGTAAGCCTTTTTTTCTTTTTGCCTTTTTTCTTCCTTTTTCCAAAGCAGCATTTAGAAATGGTGTTGAGAAGAGGCGTGTTACCAGCTGGTCCTGCTAAATAACCCCTTTGCTGACCTGGGAAAGCAGATGGAAAGGGTTCATTTGTAGTAACAGATCTCACATGGGAATCTTTGAGGGTAGCTCATGTTGAGAAGATTAGCACCGTCCTTCACGTGCAGGTCACTTGTTATGACCACTGTTCCTTGCGGCACAGGGTGTGGGAATGTTCACAGTGTCAGGCAAGACACAGGGAAAGGGTCAAACGCAGCCTTTGATCTATCCTGTGAAGGAACTGCTGGGGAAGTCATGTGAATTCAGGGGACTGAGAATTTGCTTATCTATGTATTTTCAGGTGCAGAGATGTGGAAGAAGGTTAGTGAGGCTTGGTGGGCAGGGGGGGTTTACACATCGCTAAAGCGGCACAGTTTTTATGTGAGGGGGATGTTTGGTTGCCCTAAAGGAGCAATCTGCTTGAGAAAATGTGGTTAGACCTGCTGGAAGCATTTTTTTTTTTTCCTGTTAGTGGCAATGAGGTACTTCAGTCTTAGCCATGCCTTTCTTTAGAGAGATCCTGCACTCAGCTTAAGCTCTTCCACCTCTTGCTGGAACTTAGTATCATTTGAGAACACGCAACAGAGGAGGAAGAAAAGTTGACTTGACTTAAAGTGTTAAAGGGTTATTTTGAGCTTGAACCTAGTTCTGTTTTTTAAATTAAATTAATCCCTAGGTACTTTTTCAAACAGCCCAGGGATAACGGGCATAGCATGAGCGCATTGATTTTTTTTTTGAGGATGTGGTCGAGAGTGTGTCATCTGTGTTGCTCATTCTGATATAATCCCTGAAACCATTAACCTGGTCTGAACTCTGTAAGGACACATGTGATGAAAAAAATTATTTGAAAATGTTCATTGCAGTAGGCAGAGTAAACATGATCAGGGCAGTTTTTTAGCTTGGTATTTCACTGGTTCATCTTTTTCATTCTCAGGTTGCAGTCTTGTATATAGAGGACACTCGTATATAAACATATGTAAAGCGCTTATTAAATCACTTCAGAATTTGGGTTGAAGAAATTCCTTAACTTTGTATGAAATCTTCTCCCTCTTGAAAAAGTGGTAAAAGGATTTCAGTAGTGCTATATTTCTGAAAAGTCAGAGAGACTATCTTTGCATTCCCTTCTCATGTTTTATGTTAAATGCTACACTCTCAGCAAGAAAAGACATTTCCCCTTGGAAGAACAGTCGCCTTCCTGGCAATGTCTACAGTAAAATAACATTAAAAAGAAATACAAGTACATATGTATCAGAAAGTGAATGGTTCCTTTTATTACTGCTAGCCATTTATTAAAAAGGAGATGGTTCTGGTTTAATTAACCCAGTTGAGAGTAGCAGATGGGGCAGAATGTCTTGCAGCGATAAGACAATTCAGAAATGGCACCAGATGTTGGAAGCTGTCCCTGGTGGTGTTTGAGTGCAGCACAGATGTTCCAGTCCCACCTGGCTAGTTCCTAAGCACTGCAGGCTAAGCAGCTGTGATGTAACCTATATAATGTACACACAACACTAAAAGCAAAATAATTGAACTGCTGCTGCTTCTTCTAAGGGTGGGACTGCTTGAGGTGAAATCTTTGAGGACAAACAAATAAGGGCAACTTCTTAGCTTTCTCAGGTCAGTGGAACACCTTCTTAAAAGCAGTATCAATGATAATAGGATTTGATTTTTGTGAACTGATTTTTTTCTGTTTATTAAAAAAAGCTTTCTAATATGGTTCTTAAATCTTTCTGCTGTTTTTATACCTTGGCTTTATTTTTTTAGTGAAAAACTCTTACTGTGCTGTCTTCAGAAGTTAATAATTTATATGCTGTGTACAAATGTCTGGTTGGAAAACTTAATGTTCCTGCTGTGGAAGGGAAGCAAACTTATAAAAAAATGAACACAAATGCAAGCTCTGTCCTTGAAATCCCAATTCAAGATCGTTGCAGACTCATTCATGCATTAAGTAACACAAAAACTAAATATAAGGCGACATGTAATTTTTCATAGTAAGCATAGTAAATTAACTTTATACAATAAGAATGTTTGGCTTTTATACATTACGCTTCCAAATTTTTAATTTTACAAACTGCCAAACTAGTAGCATCCCTCACTAGTTAAAAAATGAGCCCTTTTATCCTTTTTAATCTCTCTAACTTTATTTTTAGAGATAGCAAAAACTTGCATCTTCTAGTTCTTTCCTAGGAAACAAAAATTGCAAGATCTGCAAGGCAGTTGGAAATAATCCAGTTTATTATTGCTCAGGCTTGTGTAAGTATAGTATGGTGATGAACAGGAAAAACAGCGTCGACTTAAGGAGCAGAATCAATAAATCCATCCTGCAAAACACAGAACAGCTTTTCTTCAGAAATCCCCCATGCCATTGTTGCAATGGATCTTTGCACAATCCAGTAACAGCATTTGGCTTCTTTCTGTTTCCAGATGGATCAACTGACCCATTTGGAGGATTTGCTGATTTTAGTTCACCTGCTGCTTCAGCAAGTTTCCCATCATCGCAAGGTAGGATTAATTTACAAACTGAAGTGCTGTTTAAGGGCATGAAGGGAGGAAGTGATGCCACGTGGCATTATTGAAAGTCACTTCCCTTTCCAGGGCAAACTGTTTGTGTGACTGGACCACAAGTGCTCTAAGAGCCCAGTGCATCCCACTTTTGCAGTTGTGGGCAAGGAGCTATTTTAATTTGAGTTTGAGAGCAATGAATGCTTCAAGATGACAGTATTGGTGTTTCCAAAGTGATTGGAAAATCAGCTGTAGTGCTAGGGCCATTCAGGTTATTAGTCTTCAGTCTTCCCAGTGTTCTGTGTAAGGTTCTTCAATCATTTTATTTGCAATAAAACCCAGTCATTTTTCTAATACTTGAACTAACAGTTTGCAAGCTTTTCAGATACAGGTAAGTGTTAACTATTTAAGGGGGAAAAAAAAAAAGCTTGCTGCTGTGGTGGGATAAAATCACTTGCATGAACCACTTGATAGTCTGGTTTGCATGCTTGTGATAATGTTTTGAGCTGAAAAGTTGGTAGGGTTTTATGCTGCTGTTTATAGTTTCCAGACACTTGCAGAGAGTTCAGATTGGTCTTAAGAACTTAATCTACTGCCCTGGCCATAATTAAAATGGGTAAGTTGAACAAAACCAAAAGATGAAATCATGCTCCATGGAAAATTGCAGTCCACCTGTGACAGAAAAATAAGAGCCCCTAAAGATGTTCTCAGCTCCCTCCTGAGATATAAAAATATAAAGTATGTAATTGTTTAGAAAGACACAATTATGTCAGTCTTGTCAGATGGTATAATGAGAACCTGGGATAGGCTATTTCCAAAACTTCTAGTGATGTCTGGGTTACTACTGGAAGGCCTCCTATGTTGGAAGGGAATTAAGTCAAGTTATGTGTTCCACATACAGTATGGCCTCACAGATGGCTTTTGAAGTGGCATGGATGCATTTGTGGGATGAAGCTGATCAAAACTTTATCTTAGCTTGGCTAGATAACAATTTGTTACAGCCTCTGTCCCTTTCAGGAGAAGTCTATTAAATAAAAGATATCCAGACCTTACTTAAGTCAGGCGTGAGCACGTCCCTGCCAATCACAAGAGCAGGATTTTAGGAATGCTTGTCGTGAGGGCATTCAGTTTTGCCCTGGCTGCATGGCATGCAGTTAGAGCTGTCACAGGGCCACACAGCTGGCTCAGTGTGTATGCAGTCATTTTGCATGCAAACATAGAAGCTATTAGTAGACACGGCTGCTGGCTGAAAAACATTTCCTTAAAATTGAACTGAAAAATATACTGGGAAGCTACCTAAAGCAATCAACTTCTTCTGCTGGAGTGTTTTTGGGAGCCTGCAGTGGTACTCAAAGAGGACAGGGCTGCAGACAAGCATGGAGCAGAGGGAGCTAGCTGGCTATCTTTTGTGAAGTTAATTTGGACAAGGATAGTCTTTGACTGGGGGTTCTCAACAAGGGTGCAGGATTGAGTCCAGAATGAGAAAAGAACAGCAAAGTGACTGATCAGCAAACCTATGAGTGAGCAAACTTTTAGTAAGCATGTGTATGTTTCCTCCTTTATTTTTCTGTGTTAGGAAAGTGTACTGGGCATGGATTACTTAAAACACCTGTAATTTGCTTGGCAGGAAAAAATTGCTCTAGTTTTTTTACAGGCTTTCTTAGTCAAAACCAAGTTGTTTTGCAAACACAAAGCCGCCTACTATGCAAATAACTTGTGTGTTAATACAGTGTAAATTGATACAATCCTTTATCTGCATTAAGATGATTAATCTCTTCCAATCACCATTATGCGAGGGACGAGGAGTCCTGTGAAATGATTAATCATTCCTGAACAGCGTGAGCCCCTCTAGGAATCTTTTCCTTCTTGATTAATCATCTTTGAAGTTCTACTGAAGGGGCAAAACCTTATCCCTTTTACCCCCACTTCCATTATTGGTACTCAGTGCACAGGTCTGAACACAGAAGCAGCACACTCAGCATTTACTTATCTATCAGGAATATTTAAAGTAGGTTTTAATTTTTAATATGTAATACTAATTGAAACATTCTAATATAGCCCCTCTTTGTGAGGGAGATCAAAGCAAATGTTCTAGTAGGGCCCTGAGCTAATGAATATTAGTCCACTTCGTGCACTGAAGTTGTTGGCAATACTTGGATTTTATGAACAGATTTACTCTCCTACTACTCTTTAAAGTCTAACATATTGGTTAAGATAAACATAACTGAAGATTGAAGGTGTATGTTGGTAATTACTTATGGCATATAAAAGACTACTGCAGTTACTTTCTGAGTGGGTAGAATGTACTTGTAGAAAAATTGCTATGGATGCCATTGTGAAACTAGCTGTTGTATAGGGTAGGAAGTGCACTGGCATTTGATTCATCTACCTCAGCTTTACATGTTTGAATCTTCATTTACTCATCTAAAGAAGTTCAGGGGGTGATTTAGGTGTTCATTAGAACTCAAAGTTCGTTTTGTATGGTGATGACATTGCTTGAGACTTATCAAAAGTATATCACTGCCATAATCAAAAAGCTAACCTGTACAATGGCCCAAACTTGGGACAAATCCACTATATAGCAATGAGACCTCTTTAAGTGGTGTTGCTTTATTTTTCACATCTCCTGTAGATGTTTTAGTAAGCTTTTTTCCCTTATCACTCCTAGGAAGTAACCCTTTTCCTATTAGTAGAAAAGCATGTGTTTTTAAGGGAGATAAATCTCCTCCCATATGAGTCAAAGGTTGTGACATAATCTCAGTTCACTGGTTTGTGTCTCTGGACATCTGTGATCCTGAAATAGGTACCCATGCAGTTGTATACATCTTATACTGTTAGGACTTCCCTGTAAGGTACAAAGAGAGCTGTAAGTTATTGTGGTTTGATTTAAATGCTTGTCTACAAGAACTCTGGTATACTGAAATGATACAAAGTTCACGTGAGGAGCTAAGAGTTCAGCAAAGGTTCTGCTGGGAGAATTGCAAGATTGAATTTCTGCTGCAAGCCAAGGCATTTAGTTCAAGAATCAAATTTAGAAAACAATGTATTTTACGTGAACCCTTCATGGGATTGGAAGAAATTACTCCTTATCACCTCAAAAAAGAATTCCTTGGCAACTAGCTTTCAAAGTTCTGGGGTTTTACTCCCCTTGGCATTGTTTTATATAAAGAGCTACTAATTGTATAGAACCAAATTTTTAAGTAATTGTCTTTTGTTTTATTATGATGGAATTTGCTTCATCAAGTGGCTCGTTCATGACAACTCTTCTCTCAGTAAATACTGGAGTGCTGAGATAAAAAGTTGATAAATATGATCACAATTCTAGGTGCTGTTTTCCAATCTACGCCAAAGTTATCTTTCAGTTGTATTTCAACCAAAGGAAACCTGTCCCTACTGGTCTGTCATTCACAGGTGACATGTTATCAAACATTCTACTTTCTGTGCATGGGTGTTTCATATTTCCTTTGCTACCTTGTTAAAATTGTTGGAATATTCATGAGAGGGAATGATGTCCAGATGGAGGTTCTACCTGCAGATGTTAATCTGGACGGACACAGATCAGCTCTCATTTGTTTCAGTTCATGGAATATGGCATTTGCTCTGTGCCTTCTTCTAAATCTTCTGCCTTTCTTCTCCCCCTATTCCTTCCTCCCACACTGTTGCCTTTCCTTCAGGTACGACAACAAGTGGAAATGGAGACTTTGGTGACTGGAGTGCCTTCAACCAAGCTTCTCCTTGTCCCAGTGCTTCATCTGGAGAGCTCTTGAGCAGCACAGGACAACAGCCAGCTATAGAGCTCTTCAGTAGCTCACAGCCAGCTTCTACCCAGCCTCCAACTCCTTCAAATTCTACTGATCTTTTTGATTTGATGGGCCCCTCTCAGACAAGTCTGACCACCTCACCAAGTATGAATTTCTGTATGAATGCCAATTCTGCAGGCATCAGTTTACCCATATCAAGGTCACAGGTATGCTGCTATTTGTACAGTTTACTAATGACCCTCCTCAATTAATCTTTTCCCTTATCCTTAATTACAGCATGAAAATAAATCCATGCCACTCCTATTCACTAGGAATTCATACCTAGTCACTCAGATGTTGTGATCAGCATTTTGTAAGAAAATTTTGTCAAAAAATGTTTGAGTAGCCTCCTAAAAAGAAGAGATGTCAAGTGCTGTTTAGCTGTTTAGAAGCCAGTCTTCTCCAAGATGGTCTCCATCGTTCTATGAAGTGTTGCAGGTTTGTTGGGGAAGATGAGGTTGATGGTATTTTAAACCTTTAAAGCCATCCTCCATAAAATGTGGCAGGTTTCCAGCATCAAGTAGATAGAGGTGAGGACTGATCTGTTCTCCAAAACACAGGGGTGCCTGCTTCAATGGAGAGTGTTTCTGGAATGCATAGCAGGTCAGCTTGGTGTTAGGAGGAGAAAACCCTTATATTTGAGTTCAAAATGGGACTGCAGATGATCAATATCATTCCACATATTGATGTGGGAGCTTAATGCTAGCTTGCAAAACACTTTTTTAATTCATTCTAATGGCACATGGCAGCACTGCTTTAGAGGAGCTGAAGTTCATGGCTAAAAATATCATTGGCTTTTTATTGTCTTCCTTGGAAAAATTAGGACTTGTTTAGTCCTGTTGTTAAATTGTTTCAAGTGGATCCCAACTTTTCCTTTTTAGCCTCTGCAACTGGTGAACGCCATGATGCCGAAGACTAACCCTCTTTATAATCCAAGCACAGAGATGGCCCAGAAGAATGCGAGCAAAACTCTACCCTCAACTTGGTCAGATCCCAGTGTAAACATCAGTTTGGACAATTTAGTACCTGGGATGCAGCCTTCCAAACCCCAGCAGCCAACACTTAATACCATGATGCAGCAACAAAGTGAGTGATAACTGCCCTGCTTTGGGTGCGTGCTGAGCCCTGTGTTTAGTAGGTTGCCTTTGAGATGGAATATTCTGTCAATTACTGTTTTCTTTGTTTAGTCATAGTTGTGTCTTAAACTACTGCAATGGTACGTTCTAAATGGAGATGGGATATGTGAGGAGGCTGAGCTTTGTGCAAGAGTTTACTGTGGAGTTTGCACCATTGCTCTGTCTGGATTTCAGGCTTCCTGATCTCTAGAACTTCTCTAGAACATGCATAGCAGCATTTATTGTTGTAAAATGCTATTGAAAAATTTTATAAAAGTTTTCTGAGTCTTCACACAGAAAATAGGGTGTTTTGGCCATCATGTGTTTCTTCACAGCAGTTACCACTTGAGTTTCTTAAAATACGTGAGCACCTTCAGCATCAGCTTCTGATTCATGATTTTTGCATCTTGTGCTCTGTTCTGCAGATATGCAACAGCCTGTGAATGTCATGACTCAAAACTTTGCAGCCGTGAACCTCAGTTCTCAGCCTAACATGATGCCTGTTCGACCCCAGACAAGCCCACTGATGGGAGGGCCCATTCCTGTGGGGATGGGAATGTCCAGTGTGATGTCAGGTACCATGGGAATGGCCTTCATGGGACCCACGCCTGTGATGAACCAGGGAATGATGGGAATGAACATGAACATGGGAGTGCCAGCTACAGGAATGGGTTTGACGGGCACAATAGGAATGGGTGTACCCAATATCACTATGACCTCTCTGACTCCTGGGACAGTACAACCCAAGCAAGATGCCTTTGCAAATTTTGCCAATTTTAGCAAATAAAGATTGTAAAATAAATAAAATTAAATACAAATAAAATAAATGGGCAGACTGAATGAAGGATTTTTAGCTGCACAAATATAGCTGGGGAAGGGATGGAAAACACTGATCAATGCTTTTTTTTTTTCTTTATCAGTTAAAGTGTCTACGTAAAGAACCAAAAGCTATTTTCTAAGTGTTGAAATAACTAGTGTTCAAATTCTGGAGAGGTGAAAGGTTCTTCTAAGGAACGTGTTAGGTGATTTTGCAAAATAATTTGTATCGAGACCATCAAAAAACTTTCGTATGGAGAAGAACCAATTTTAACTTTGAGACTTGATGGAAGACTGGAATGGGGGTTTGGTAAAAATGTTTGAATCTAATTTTATACTTTTCTTTTTTCTTGAAGAGCTTGACTTTCTTTTCCCCCTCTCCCTGATCACTTTGTCATAATTGGATCATTCCTTTTACTACCACTGAGTCCACAATTGAAGTCACTCAAGTACTATGATCAGTTTTTTATAAGAATATATATTTTTGTCCAGAAATGGCTTACATATGTGATTATGGCTAATTCAAAGGGACCTGGAATGTATATATACTTTTGCTAATGTTCCAGCTACACTGCTGTATTACCTAAATTTTTATTGTAAAAATCCTCTCTCAGCAATTAGGTGATCAACAGATTTTTGGGGTATTAACATGCTTCTATTGTTAAAACTGATATCCAGTGCAAGTCTGGGACGAGCTTTATCTAAGATTGCTGGAAGGTTTCCTTTCAGAAAACTCCAGAAAATGCACTTTCTTGCCATTCTACAGTGGCACTTAGCATCCTTTGTACCACCAATATCCCTGTGGAGCCACTGGCTTAGGGTATCAGCAGCAGTCAAAAAGCAAAAATATTTATTTTTTGCATCATTATGGAAAAAAAAAATAACAAGGTGATTTACACATAATTTAAAGTAACTCTATAACCCTACCTAATCCAAGAGCATTGGATCTTAGCTTTTATACAATATTTGGTGATTCTTTTCTGTAAATATGGCATTAGCAGCTGTGGAATCCAATAGAGGAGTAAAAATTATATATATTAATAAAGGAAACCTGTAGCAGTCAAAAGATTTTACTGAAAACAAAAAAAAAAAACAAATTAAGGTTTGGGGGGGTTGTTTTCCTTTCTGTAATTCTGCATTAAGTTCCAATGAATCATGATTCTAGAATCTGGAATATAAAGATGTTATATTCACAAGCTGGGAATACTGTTAAGAATAAGCACTATACTATAGGTATGAAATTTATTGCCTCCCTTTTCTTACGTTGGATTTCTTTTTTATTATGAAATTGATAAAACTTTGTTTCCATTGTATTCATAATGTTCTGTTATACATAACATTAAAATGTTCATTAAAATCAATGTTGGGCTGCTTTTCCTTTCATTCCATTTGACGTTTATGAGAGCATTTGGGAAAAAAATAATTATAATTTGGGCAAAGTAATTTTTATAAATAATTTAAAATTGTTTAATGACTTCTTATCTGAAGCCTTTCCTATCTGGTTCTACTGTTAGGAATTAAAAATGAAGCAGGCAAGATATCCTGACCCGCTCCAGCCTTGCTAATGCTCCATCTACAACATTTCTAATTAGGCAGAAATTCATGTACTTCAGCTAAGTGGTAATGAAAAGTGATTCATTTGCTGAATAAGAGATGAGAGTGAGTGTAATTAGCTGACTGCGGTTTTTAATCTTTCAACAATTCAATGTGTTTAAATTAGTTTCAAAGAATAGGAGCTTTCAAGTGTTGTTACATCAAAGTAATCAAGGCAGGCTGTAACGGCTGAGTAGGAGAGAGCGCTCTGGTTCCTGTTCTGAAACCTTTAAACTTATTTGGCATAATCATCTTCAAAACCTCTAGTGCTAACAGATGGGAAGGCTCAGACTGGTTTGATATATGCAAAATGGTGGTACGAAGAAAGCTGGTTCCTGGGGTGGTAGATGGGTGGTGAGAAAAACTAAACCTGTAGTCCATGTTGCTGCCTTTAGCCGTGCGGAAGGGGTGCAGTGCTTCTCACAAGCCTTTAGAAGGTCTTCTGATGAGTAGGGTGAGTCTGTTCACAACACTGTCCTTCTAAGGTAAGTTTAGCTGATTAAACACTCAGGTTTGAGTTGAAAGATCACTTCCTTTGTTTTTGTTGCAAGATCACATGTCTTTGGAGGAACCGGAGATTTAGCTTCTAATCAAGAGATTCACTATAGTGAAGTGTATTTGTCAGGGGTTAGAATAACTCCAGTGGAAAACATTTGGTCAGTTTAGAGTGGATCTTTGTGGTTGTGTTCATTGGTTCTTAGTTACGAGTACGTAGGCTGATGTAGCAGTTGTACCGAGCCCATTCACTGCCCCTACCATACATCTTTTGAACTAAAACAAACATCAGATCAGAAAAAGCAGGAAGATCCCTTGCAAGGGCGTGCCAGGTGCATCCAAAGCAAGCTACTGTGTGAAAAGTGACACATCTACCACTTATTTACTGCTGCTTTATAGAACTTGAATATAACCTAAGTCATGCTTCTCTGTGAGTTGGTACAACTCTTTCATGTTTCCTAAAGCCAGGTCCTGCTGTAACTGCCAGCCGTGCCCAGGCTGAGGTCTGCCTGGCTGTGTGCTGTGGAGCACTTGACTACATCGTGTGCTGTCACATCAGCATGCATGTGGCTTTCCTCCACTACCCCTTGTCAAAAATCTGACTCCCTTGCTCTCCTCCCTGACTATTCACAAGTTGTACTCTACATCTTTTTAAATAAAAAAAAAAAAAAAAAAGAGTGCTTATTTTATCATAGTAGTGTCCAAAATGCATGAGATTTAAAAACCCCGGCTGTGAGCCCTGTGACGGTTGCCAGTGTAACTGATCTTCTCAAGCCAAGCTGAAAAGCAGCAACTGCCATGGGAGTTTTGAGCCTACAGGGAGTAAATACAGGGAATGATCTGTTTGTCTGATCTTAAGAGGTAAGCTTGTACCATCTACAGATTCTGTAGCTTCTTTTAAGAGTTCTATTAAAAAAAAAACAGTGAAATCCTTTGTAAGGGATGTCTCTACTTAGAAGAGAAAGGGGCATCAGAATCCAACAGTTGAATATTTTTCATAGAATCATTCAAAAAATGCCTCTTGGTGTATACAAAGGAGTAATGAATTCCAGCACAGGTGCAAGTTCAGTGGTAACTAGAGCATCCACCATGTTCTACAAAAGAAATTATATTCAAAACAGCTAAACAAGGGTATTTATAGCAGCATCTGTTTCAGCTATATTTGTCAGCTACGAACAGTCTGACACAGCTTCAGGGAGGTGGGGGAGGGATTTATCAATGAAGTGTTTACATAATGCAGGCAGGCATTGTATACTCAAGGTGATACCAACTATAACAGGATAACAAATATCTAAAGACACTTTTATTCTCAGAGGCCTTTGCTCCAGGAGTCACTCTACAAAATTGCCTCCACGTTCCTCTGTGCATAACTGTAAACACTTTTATAGCATATGACATTTTATAGTACCATCACTTGCTTTGGATTAAAGCTTTTAATGGAGATGTGATTTTTTTTTTTTCACTATTTTTTTTTCTTCCCCCCCCCCCCCAGGGTTTAGTCCAAGCTGCCACTGACTAAAATTCAGAATTGTTTCAGGGAAACCCAATGGGTTTGTACACACACTGAAACTCTTTAAATGAAAGAATTTGAAGACAAAGGAATTTTTTTTATGTTAGCATTCAGAACTGTCAGCACAGGGAGAAATCACTTATTGTACAACTCCAGGTACCTGCTGACAGATTTGACTGGCAAAAACTAAAAGTATGAAGGTGAGAATTGGAAACTAAATACTGAATACCTGTATGCTTCCAATTATTCCCTCCAGGAGCTCTGCTGGTGACACAGGAACAGTAGTTGGCCTCTTCTTCCCATATTGGTAAGTGGAGCACAGCTTCTTCTTGGGGACAAGCAGCACTGTGCTGCCTGCCCCCCGGAGGCACTCGCTGCGGGATGCAGAGGACCAAATGGCTGTGCTGTTCGTTCCCAGCAGCCAGAAACACAGAACCAGCATGAACTTTCTTGCCCAAAACACTTTGTTTTGGAGCTAACTTCAACATTTTAAATGCTTCAGAGCGAGAAGGGCTTCCCAGAGGTGGTGGCAGGATGGTTATTGGTCTAGCCACACTGCTAAGACTTGCCTTTGAGAGATGCTTTTAGTGATGTTAGGAAAGAAATAAGAGAGGAAAAAATAGTAAGTTACAAAGACAACTAGGTGAGCCTGGTTAATGTTGTGAGACTGAAAAGGATGGCCTGTGGAATTTGTAAGTCAAGCTGTACAGCTTGTTCAATGATCTGGTTACAGCTTTATCTGGGTGGGATGCTGCAGAAGTCTGCTTCTCCATGTAAAATGACCTTTAAAAATTGAGATGTGTCTCATTTTTGGTTTTATGTGCTTGTGTGTCCACTATTTCGATAAGGAAGGATCAGAGTTAAGAAAGAAATTCTGCATGATGTGGAAAATGAAGAAAGGTGCCTTTGCAGAGCTTGGCACACCCCTGGCTCTCTGCAGCTGGGGGCTCTTTTCATAGAGCAATCCAGGTCTCTACAGCTATGTAATCTCTGTGTGTATAGCACAGTGAAGGCTCAGCTCATCTGTTCTCAAAAATGTCTTTATTCCTCATGAATTTGCAGGTTTGGTTTTTTTTTAATTACTGAACCAATACCTTATGGCATGATTAACTGGTTCTTTAATAGAGCTACAATTACTTTGTTTCCTGATAAGGGAAAAAAAAAAAAGCAGCATTCCAAGACAGAGCTACTTTCGACATCTGGGAACCTCCTAACAGCTGGCTATCTAATGAATATGCATCTGCTTAAGAGGCTGTAGGCCATTAATAAACCAATAGATATAAAACAGAAACAATCTTTGTCAGCTTCAAATGAGATTGGATGCAATGTGCTGTGAAGTGTCACTGTCACATTGAATCGAGCTGGGGAGGTTAACAGTCGTTCCTCGGAGCCAGTGGCTGCCTGGCGGGGCGGGCG